GTTAAACCAGATCAGACCGATCCAAGGCTCACTCACCGAGCACTCCGACTCATCTTGCTAACTGACTTCCGAGCTGATTTTTCTTCCGACAGGTTCTCCGAGCAAATCTTTATCATGATAGACTGATGATGATGACCTCATCTTATGACCGATTCGCTTTGTGACCGTTCTAAAGCTTGAAAGGGCGAAGTCCAATCTGCAGCTGCTGATAATCAAGGGAGATAGTATTTCATGCACAATCGGATAAGCCCGATCGGACACAACCTCACCTACCATCCATTAGTACCCGACTAAGTTGTTTGGGTTTCTTCTTGATCACCTCCGGTCATCACCGAGTGTATCAGGCGGGTGGCATCAGTAGAGCTCTATAGCCCCGAGCAATTTCCTACCTAGTCTGTCCCTCCCCGAGCATACTTGTCGAACTGGTAGCATTTGTGGGGTGACCGGACCAGATAGAGAACCAAAGGCTCGTGATTTATGCCGGTCTCCGATCAGCTTTATGATCCGTTTCTGGACTCCCAATCGTCAATGCCCCAGATTTCCCGACCTCCTCTGAGTTGGTGGCTAAGATCAAGGATTCCCGAAATAAAGATCGCACCCGGAGATGCCGTTAATATTTGATTGAAGAAGATCGGATGACCGGAAAAATCTCAGCTTGAAAACTACGAAACTTAATCGTTGTATCCACCACCGATCATCACAATTTCTCCTGAATTTGCCAGAGATCTAGATCAGCGATGATCGTTCTTTCCTCCATATGCACGAACTCCAACATTAAAGTAGACTGCATGTTGGATATGATCGGGCACCGAAGCTAAATCGCTAGTCAAGATGTCCCTTTTGAACGTCGATCGGAGATGCACATGTCAGCAGACTTCTCAAGCATGACATTCTGTAATATGAACAAAGTACAAACCAAGCCCAAGATCGTGACTTGACTTCTTAAATTTGTAAACTATAGTCATAAATTAGATTTGATCGTAGATTAAATTGTAAAAATTGTATTAGTCTTTTAGACGTAGCTTTGTATTTAAAAAATTATAATAGGAAAGCATATGTAAATTAAGCCCGGTTAGGTTGGTATTTCCACCACCGGCACCTCAAGTCCGGTCAGGTCAGCCTTGCCACCACTGGCGCGGTTAAGCCCGAGAAAAATCCAGGCACAAAACCCTAATAAGTAGGCAATTCTGGTCTCCCGACCCACGAAGACAAGAGCCCGACCGCAACTCGCCACCTAATCGTCTAGAGCCAACATTCGACCGCAAAGTCGCTAAAACTAACTCGGCCTTGTTGCCCAAATGACCGCAAAGTCGCTTAAACTAACTCGGCCTTGTTGCCCAAACGACCGCAAAGTCGCTTAAACTTTCTCAGCCTTGTTGCCCAAACGACCGCAAAGTCGCTTAAACTTTCTCGGCTTTATAGCCCAAACGACGGCAAAGTCGCTTAAACTTATCTTGGCTCTCTAAACGGTAACGACTACAACACCGCGTAAACTTCAAGTTCCGGTTCAATACCGATCAAGGCCCGAGCCCGACCTACCAACCTTGGTGTCGAACAGCTTTATGTCTCGGCTCATACGCGTTTACATGGATTAGTTGTGTGCTAAATCCGATTAGGTCGGCATTGCCACCGCCGGTGCTTTAAGTCCGGTTAGGTCGGCATGGCCACCACCGGCGCTCTAAGTCCGGTTAGGTCGGCATGGCCACCATCGGCGCTCTAAGTCCGGTTAGGTCGACATTGCCACCACCGGCGCTCTAAGTCTGGTTAGGTCGGTGCCGCCATCGGCGCTCTAAGTCCGGTCCGATCGGCATCATTGCCACTACCAGCCCAGTTGGCCTGAGACCGCATCTCGGCCTTAAGCCCTACAAGGTAGGCAATTGAACCCACGAGGCCGGGCCTCCCGCCCCAAGTAAAACCAATCTCTCGATTGGTAAAAGATTGATCGCCTGATCACGATCAAAGTCCGATCGCTCAATCTTAGTAGCGTGTGAATCCTCTATCACGTTAGAGGTTTGATCCCTTAATTGGTACGTTTAGATATAGCAAAGTTCCAAGTCCAACAAGTTAGGCGAGGCGATCGGTGGTACACCGGCGTTGTGAGCCCGATCGGGCCACTTCCCGGTCATCGACGCTATGGCATTGGCATCATAAGCTCGATCGGGTCATTTCCCGATCGCAATCAAAGTTAGAAGGCGAACTCGAGAACCCATCATATCTACTCCCTTACGTAGATGATTCTCGCACCTAAGGGAGTGGGGGGCTACACGGGTGGAGTAGCTTGTTCGCTAAAGTATTTCCCAAGTAGATCGGTCGAGTAGCATTCAAACCCTCTATCGTACTAGAGGTCAGGTCTATTGATCGGTAAATTCAAACTTCATAAATCCTCCAAGTCCTACAAGCTAGGCAAACCGACCGTCGATACCCTAAGTATAGTTTGATGCATCGACATCATGAGATCAGTCGGGTTACTTCCCGATCGCAATCTAAGTTACAAAGCAAACTTGGGAAACTATCGTATCTACTCCCTTAGGTTGACGATTCTCGCAACTAAGGGAGTGGGAGGCTACACGAGTAAGGTTGTAGAGCACGCTCCCTCAGCCTGTGGAGCTCGAGCACTGAGGTGCTTCCCGAGCAAAGCGACCTTCCCGGTCTCATAGATCGCTTCACGCGTAGATCGACCTTCTCGGTCAAAAGCGTAGATCGACCTCCTTCCGGGTCTCGTAGATCGCTTCACGCGTAGATCGACCTTCCCGGTCTCGTAGATTGCCTCACGCGTAGATCGACCTTCCTGATCAAAAGCGTAGATCGACTTCCCCGGTTTCATCATCGAGTCCCGATCAAAGGAGTAGATCGACCTCCCCGGTCTCGTCATTGAGTCCCGATCAAAATGACCTTCCCGGTCTCGCCTTCGTTAGACCTTCAAGTCTTACAGCGCCTAGCACTTCCTGATCAAAGTAACCTTCCCGGTCTCGCTATCGTTAGACCATCGGGTCTCCAAGTGTCCCTCCGCCTGGGACTTTCAATTCGTAAACCGAACGTATCTCGCTATCGTTAGACCATCGGGTCTCCTAGTGTCCCTCCACCTGGGACTTTCGATCCGCAAATCGAGCACATCTCGCTATCATTAGACCATCGGGTCTCCAAGTGTCCCCCCGCCTGGGACTTTCAATTCGTAAACCGAGCGCATCTCACTATCGTTAAACCACCAGGTCTCCTAGTGTTAAGTCATAGAAAGTTCGATCCCCAAATCGCAAATAAATCCGACGTCCTGGTCGTACCCAGCAACCCGGTTGGTAGACCGGTAAAGTTGACCTCTAGATCGCAGCTAACCTGATCTCCCGATCTTAGCTAGCTTCCCGGCCGCTCGATTGGTACGGTAAAGATTTGACCTCGCGAATCATGTTGCAAAACCGACCCCTAGGTCGGGCAAACCCTTTCTTTAGTCCACCAGACTGCGTTTAGCGTTGTGCACTTTTTTCCGAAGCTAAAAATTTTTCCCACTGGGTTTTTATTAGCTTAAGGTTTTTTAACGAGGCAACCTGCGTAAGTCGCGGACCATAAGCAGTTTTTCAGCCCGAACCCTTCCTTGCTAACTCATCGTCAGGGCACGGACTTGGGGGGGCTTCTTGATAGGGAATATACCGCGGGTTTAGGCTCCCCGTACGTTCCGTGCTCCTACTTGGGTTGGGTCAAACGGTTCGGGTCAAGGTCAACCCGCCAACCCTTGACCCTATAAATAGGGCATTAGCCCTCAAAGTTAAGGGTTCCTCCCCCACTCTCTACAAAGGCTTCCTCTCTCTAGCTTGTAGCTCTCCCTTCCATCTAAACACATACAAGAACAACATGAATAAAAGAGGCTCATTTGCTATATCTTCTTCCTCCTTGTTCATACATTACTCTACATACATACATTCTACGAGTATAACCGGGAATTACCCATATAAGTTACATACCAACAATAACATGAAGCACATAATTATTAAATTAGGCATAAATAAGGTGGCTATAATATTACATGTTAAATACTAAACTCGATGATATTCAAAACATGTCAAACTAACTATTTAATAGTTGACAAGCTCTTGTTCCCACGTGTATTGTAGCTGATGTAATAATCACAGAGCGGGTTTGGAGCAAACCAATACGGAGCAGGTCGGACCCGGCATCAGCGAACTACCCGCGACGCGTGGCGAACCACCCCGGGATCGGCCCGGTATGGGGTCGGCTCATTGTCGAGCCGACCTCCATGGGCTCGGGCTCGGCCCCATGGGCTCGGCCTCGTGGGCTTGGCCCCATGGGCTCGGACGAGCCCATGGTCGGCCCCTTGGCCGAGCTCCGTGCTCGGCCAAGGACCGGGTCATCGCGTGGAGCGAGTCTCGCGGCGCGGTCCGCGGCTCCTCCCGCGTACCCCGGGCCCGTAGCGACCGGGGGGGTATAAAAACACCCCCGGTGTCCTATTCAAGCATTTTCTACTTTTCCTACAACAATTGTCTGACTATTACACGTTGATTACCTCTGTAATAGCATTATTCGTTCGATTAATACAATAATTCTTACATACACATCCCTATTATCATTTTATTATTCGTTTATCACATTCGACATATATTCGGGTTGTATAATTCAGACCCCGGGTTCATATAATCCATCAGTAGCTATGCGATAAAGCCACGTGGCTTCAAAACTTTGACGCATTATATTCATGGGGAAAACTCCATCTAGAGTTCAATAACCAACCATATATTACTCTGCCCCCATACCAAATAGGCCAGGATAGTTCGTCTTTTCCAAAATCCTATCCTATATATAATAAAGCCAAATCCTTTTGGTGAAAAATTCCCGCCCAAATGATACGGCGCCGTTTGGTTAAAACATGGATTACAGAGTTGTTTTTTTTTTTTTTTTTTTTTTTTTTTTTTTTTTTTTTGGGTAAGTGGTCAGAGCTTTTAATTACCTATCTTTTCATGATAAGCCTTTTCGCATTACCTACCACAACCTCGAGCCACTCAATAGTTAGACATTTATTACACTGATGAATGATAAGTCTTTTTGGTTCTAGAAACAACAGCATTAAATAGCATATAAGTTGAAGACTTCTAGAGACAAGTATATAAACACTTCTTGAAATACAATTTGACATCATAGCAAACACTACATATTACAGAGAGTTCTTTACAACACAAAAATATACCCAAAAAACTTCTTGGCACCTCTGTTCATTATGGCCAACGAGCTGTCACCTAGAACAAGCAGTGCTATCAAGTTGAGATGTGTGCAAACGTATGATATTCTAAATAGGAATGAAAACGAAAGTATAAAATGCAAAGAATGTGTGTTCCATGACAAAGAGGTATGTGTTACTATTTTGATTCAATTATAATACATACAGTAGTATGATCTTTTTTTATTTTCTGAATTCGAATCAATGATTATTCCAATCTTTTTTGTGTGTGTATAATACTAACAATCACAGTTTATTCTATTTCGAATTTGTAATTGAATGCTGTATTTTTTTTTTTTTTGTTATGAATTGTTTTATGCTCATCTTCTACAGGTTTCATAAAGTTTAGTACATAGAATTTTGCTGCTTCAGACCATAATACAAGAAGCAGTGGTATTCTTATTTAATTAGAGCCTCTGTTCTAATTAGAATCTGTATGTAATAGCTTTTTTATTTTCTTAGGTTTGTTCTATTGTCAGTTGTATGGTTCTTTATCATTTAACAATTTTTGGATTCCCAAACTGTTTTTCTTTAACAATGTTATTACCATGTACATATAAATTAGGATTTTTCTAGACAGAACTCTTATTTGAATCACCATAAAATTTCTGTTTTTCTTTTTTTAATATTTCAACAAAGCTTTTCATGTTGACAGGATAATAGGGCTGGCACCCGACCCGGATCACAAATGGGCATTGACTCAGCATCACATAGGAACCCAACGGGGACAATTCCAACGGTTAGGAATTCCAACAGGTGTCACCTTTATTGTCTTTGAAGCCACCATTGATGCCACCTTTGATGAGAGAGAGTTAAAGCCTCAACGCCTCATTCATGACTCTTCATATTCTTGCCGTTAGCTCAGCTCCCCAATGATGACTCTTCATGTTGTTACCGTTAGGACCTAGCATAAATAGAACTTCCCTCAGCTGAGCAGGGGACATTGTACTTTCTATACTGAGACAAAAGCAATACAACTATCGTATTCTCTTATAGCATTGTTATATTATTATTTACCGGTAACGTTATTACCGTCATTGGTGCTTTCATTGAGAGCCTGAGTCCAATACTCAAGCAGGCTACAACACTACTCTTTTTCTCTTTCAACAGCAAGCCTGAAAAAATGGCGTCCCGCAGCTCCCACGGTTCTCGCAACGTGAACAATGGCAATGCCTCAGGTGACCTCCGGGACCAACTCACCAACAATCACGGAGGGGACCTCCAAGAACAGCTCAACAACAGGAGGCCCGGGGACCTTCGAGACCAACTCAACAATGGAGGGGTAAACCAAGCCGTGAACGGGAGGCCCGGGGGCCTTCGAGACCAACTCAACAATGGGGGGGTGAACCAAGCCGTGAACCTCCAGGCGACCGCCGATATCATTCAGCAAGCAGTGACGGCGGCGCTAAATCAGGTGGCGGTGGGACTGCAAGGCCAAGTGCCCACGCCGCGGCCCCAGCAAATAGGGGTAGAGGCCCAAAGAAGTGGACCGGCCAGACGACAACCAGGCCCTTCCCAATCTGCGCCAGAACGATTGGGACAGAGGGCGCCCGTGCGGCAAAGATTAGGATCACGGGCCGAGGGGTCCTCTACCAGAGGCCCTCGCCAACACGAGAACAGACAAGCCGAGAGATCACCCACAGAGGAGGTGGGCGAGTCTCGGGAGCCGACCCCACGCCGACACGTTGATGAGTCGGCCCTACGTCGACACTTGGAGGAGCGACGCGTCGATGAGCCGGCTCTGCGTCAGCACTCGGCGGAGAAGCGACGCGCTGATGAGCGGGTCCCACACCGACACTTGGATGGACGGAACGTCGAGGAACCCGCTCCGCGTCGACACTCAGATAGACAGCACGTCGATGAACTAGCTCCACGTCGACACATGGAGGAGCGACAACCGGCCCCGCGTCGGCACCCTGACGAGTCGGCCCTGGTCGAGAGGCTGCAGAGAAGAATCGAGGAGTTAGCAAGAAGGGTGGAGGCACGGGAGCAGTCGCCGGAACCTGAGGTACGGATGGCAGCACCATTCTCCCCTAGCATCATGGACGTACCTTTGCCGAGGGACTTTAGGTTGCCCGCCATCAAGGAGTACACGGGGGCCACTGACCCACGTGTCCACATGACGAGGTACAAGGCTGCTATGGTAATGATCGGGGCAGGGGACGCCATCATGTGCCGAGCGTTCTTGTCCACACTGGATGGAGCGGCCCAAGACTGGTTCAACACCATCCCAGATGGGTCGATCCAAAACTTTGGGGAGTTATCCAAGAGCTTCCTAACATACTTCTCCGGTAGCATACATCGCAAGAAACCCTTCTCTCACCTCTGTGTAGTGAAGCAAGATAGAGGCGAGAGCCTCAAAGACTTCCTGATCAAATGGAAAAAGGAAGTCAATAATGTCTACGACTTCGACTCCAAGGCGGCGATCCCGATATTTATCCATGCCTTAAGATCAGGGTATTTCCACAAGCAACTGAACGCTCACCACCCCCGCTCTTACGAAGATCTGATGAGGACGGCTAGCCGCTATGCCGAAGCAGAGGACGTCGACAGGAAGAAGAGGATGGTAGGAAAGATGGGAAGCCTGGGGAAGCTGGTCCGCCCAGCCAGGCACCACTCTCGAACCACCCGACCGCAGGGAAAGGCCGAGACCACGAACGGCCTCGCCTGGTCTCCTTGCATAATTTGACTCCTCTTACCCATCCCGTCAGTGTCATTCTAAAGCAAGCTGAGGAGATGGGAATGGTAGAATTCCCCGAGGAGTGCATGAAGGTCTCCCCAAAGGTAGACCAAACAAAGTACTGCAGGTTTCATAGGCATGCCGGACACGATACGGATGAGTGTCACGTTTTGAAGAGACAAATAGAAGACCTCATCCAGCAGGGCTACTTCCGACATTTCGTCAAGCGATCCAAGCAGCAGCAACAGCCGCAACACAATCCACCAAAAAATGTCTGGAGGAATGAGGATGGCACCGAGCCGTCCACCTCAAACGCCAAAAAAAAGAGACCACGACCAAATATCTGAGCAGAGTGATAGCGAGAAAGAAACCGAGGTGGCGCCCAGACGACAAAAGAAGCACACCATACACTTTATCTATGGTGGACCTGCAGGGGGCGACACGCCCGCGGAAAGAAAGAAGTGGAGCCGGCGGCTATACGTGGGAGAAGTGGCGAGTATTCCCAGAGAAAAGAAATAGAGACAGGAGGCTATCACCTTCTCTGATGATGACCTCCCAGAGGGCCCGTTACCCCATCATGACGCCCTGGTAATTGAGATGGACGTCAATGATGTCATTATCCGCCGCATCTTAGTCGACACGGGAAGCTCAGTCAATGTAATGTATTACGATGCCTTCACCAAGTTAGGGATACTTAGGAACCAGCTAAAAGAAGTACGTACCCCACTCTCTGTATTTACGGGTGATTCAGTGGAGACGGAGGGGTCAGTGGTCTTACCAGTGGAGATAGGCACGAGCCCTAACATTCGCAAACTTGACTTGGAATTCATCGTGGTAAGACTCACTGGCGCGCACAACATCATATTGGGGAGACTGGCACTGGAGAACCTCAAGGCCATTGTGTCGGTGGAACACTTGTGTATGAAGTTCCCCACTCCGAGCGGGATAGGGGTCGTCAGAGGAGACCAGCGAGCGGCCCGCAGTTGTTACGTTAAAGCATGCAAAAAGATTGGCAGAAATGATCTATAAGTCCACACCATCTGTAAGGATGATCGATCGGGTATGGAGCTAAGAACATTTGATTAAGTATTTTCCTTAATATTCTAGTAGTCGTTTGGAACTGGTGTTTGGAAATCGCGGTCCGCCCGCTTTGCATTCTAAAATCTTTTGGAATAATATCTCGTGCTTGTGGTCCGCCCATGTTGTTTCAAAAAAAAAAAAAAAAAAAAAAAAAAAAAAAAAAAAAATTGGCTGAGGGCGCGCCTCAGCCAAGGCCGAGGCACACGCCTCGGCCTGTCGCCTCGGCCGCCTCGGCCACAGGCCGAGGTCGCGCCTCGGCCACAGGCCAAGGTCGCGCCTCGGCCACAGGCCGAGGCCGCACATCGGCCCCGAAAAAAAAATTAAAAAAAAAAACGATCGGACGAGGCTACGCCTCGGCCGCGATCAGCCGAAGCGCACGCCTTGGCCACAATCGGTCGTGGCCACGCCTCGGCCACGATCGGTCGAGGCCACGCCTCAGCCACGATCGGTCGAGGCGACGCCTCAGCCACGGTCGGAAAACGATCGGACGAGGCTACGCCTCGGCCGCGATCAGCCGAAGCGCACGCCTTGGCCACAATCAGTCGAGGCCACGCCTCGGCCACGATCGGTCGAGGCCACGCCTCGGCCACGATCGGTCGAGGCGACGCCTCGGCCACGATCGGTCGAGGCGACGCCTCGGCCACGATCGGTCGAGGCGACGCCTCAGCCACGATCGGTCGAGGCGACGCCTCAGCCACGATCAGCCGAGGCGCACGCCTCAGCCACGGTCGGTCGAGGCGCACGCCTCGGCCACGGTCGGTCGAGGCGACGCCTCGGCCACGGTCAGCCGAGGCGCATGCCTCGGCCACGGTCAGCCGAGGCGCACGCCTCGGCCACGATTGGTTGAGGCGACGCCTCGGCCACGATCAGTCGAGGGGTTGGCCGAGGCGCCCGCCTTGGCCAACGCCGAAGTCCGTCTCGAAAAAAAAAAAAAAAAAAAAAAAAAAAAAAAAAAAACGATCGGACGAGCCTACGCCTCGGCCGCGATCAGCCGAAGCGCACGCCTTGGCCACAATCGGTCAAGGCCACGCCTCGGCCACGATCGGTCGAGGCGACGCCTCGGCCACGATCTGTCGAGGCGACGCCTCAGCCACGATCGGTCGAGGCGACGCCTCAGCCATGGTCAGCTGAGGCGCACGCCTCGGCCATGGTCGGTCGAGGCGACGCCTCGGCCACGATCGGTCGAGGCGACGCCTCGGCCACGGTCGGTCGAGGCGACGCCTCGGCCACGGTCAGCCGAGGCGCACGCCTCGGCCACGATTGGTCGAGGTGACGCCTCGGCCACGATCAGTCGAGGGGTTGGCCGAGGCGCCCGCCTCGGCCAACGCCGCAGTCCGTCTGGGCAAAAAAAAAAAAAAAAACACGATCGGTCGAGGCGACGCCTCGGCCACGGTCAGCCGAGGCGCACGCCTCGGCCACGATTGGTCGAGGCGACGCCTCGGCCACGATAAGTCGAGGCGACGCCTCGGCCACGCTCGGTGGAGGCGACGCCTCGGCCAGCCTAAGCCGCAACCCGTCTCGGTGAGCATAAAAAAAAAAAAAAAAATTCATGTGTGATTTGGAAAATAAAATCACATACTCGGGATCAATCGGGATTCCGCACGATATCAAGCAAATTCGGCTTTACTCCCAAGTCAACTCAATCATATCCGTTACCTCAGGAGTAGGGGGGACTGGTGACAGGATAATAGGGCTGGCACCCGACCCGGATCACAAATGGGCATTGACTCAGCATCACATGGGAACCCAACGGGGAGAATTCCAACGGTTAGGAATTCCAACAGGTGTCACCTTTATTGTCTTTGAAGCCACCATTGATGCCACCTTTGATGAGAGAGAGTTAAAGCCTCAACGCCTCATTCATGACTCTTCATATTCTTGTCGTTAGCTCAGCTCCCCAATGATGACTCTTCATGTTGTTACCGTTAGGACCTAGCATAAATAGAACTTCCCTCAGCTGAGCAGGGGACATTGTACTTTCTATACTGAGACAAAAGCAATACAACTATCGTATTCTCTTATAGCATTGTTATATTATTATTTACCGGTAACGTTATTACCGTCACATGTTATTAAGTATTTTATATAATACTCCGTAAAAGGCTGTTACTAATACACACTGAGAACGAACTGAGCCATAGATCTGCAGAATGTATTTTGAAACTAGGTAAACAAATAGCTTTAGGCAAAAAAAAAAAAAAAAAAAAGTTGTGAAACCAACAGACCTCCAAATTTTCAACAAATAAGACTTTTATACAGAATTGTAAGCTATGTGCGATGTATAGAAACAATCAAACTCTAAAAATCCAAGTACCTTCTGTATTAGTAGACAATATACAATACTTCTCCCGAAATGATGTCTAATGGTCATGCATGCTTCAGATCTACGATTACAGCAACGATCTTGAGAATTCTGAATCCGACATGTATATAAAATTATATAGACATAGCTTAGTGAAACAACTTATCTAGATCAAGCGATAGCACTGCTTCCGAGCTAGCTGTGTGAATCTTTCAAAGCTGTGGTCTCGAGATATACTCATACATACACAAATCCACAAAAGCTATTTTCTGGAGAGATTTAAAGGGATTGTTCGAACAAAGAGCATGATAGATCTAGAAAGTGAACACCTAACCGTGCTAAGAGATGAGAGAACCCAGACATTGTGAGTAAACCGTTGTTGTCGGTGGTGTACTAATAAATAGATAATGGGCCGGTTCTATATGTGGACTCATCAATTTGGGCAATAGTTATGCCGTGCAACCGAATGTACCATGCGCATGGTACATACGACGCAAAACGACGTCGTTTTGACTAAAAACACGCGTCTCACTTTAAAAAAAAAAAATTCAGGTTCGATTCTCGGCAATAGTATTATTGTGGATATATAGTTATGAATTTCTGGATATATAGTTATAAATTTGTGGATATATAGTTATGAATTTATGGATATTTAGTTCATTCATTGCGGATATTTAGTTCATTCATGGTAGATATTTACTTCATTCATTCACTGTGGATATATAGTTATGAATTTATGGATATATAGTTATGAATTTCTGGATATACAGTTATGAATTTATGGATATTTAGTTCATTCATTGTGGATATTTAGTTCAATCATTGTGGATATTTAGTTCAATCATTGTGGATTTTTACTTCATTCATTCATTCATTGTGGATTTTTACTTCATTCATTGTGGATTTTTACTTCATTCATTCATTCATTGTGGATTTTTACTTCATTCATTCACTGTGGATATATAGTTATAAATTTGTGGATATATAGTTATGAATTTCTGGATATATAGTTATGAATTTCTGGATATATAAAAATGCTATTGCCAGGAATCGAACCTGATTTCATCTTTAAGTGGGACGCGCGTTTTTTTAACCAAAATGGCGCCGTTTTACAACCGTATGCACCTTGCAAGGTGGATTCGGTTGCACAGCATAATTTGCGCAATTTGGGGCTCGGGGCTTAAATTTTTTATAATTTAAGTAATGGGCCTATATTATTATGACCTTTTTTCTTTCATTTGACTTTTCTCATATGTATAGTTGTTGTATTCCATATCAAATTGGACCATCATTATTGTGTTGAACATGGTCCTGTGTGGATCATATTTTGTATACTATAAAATAATGTATAAAAATAATATAATTTAGTATATTAAAAATGTATATTGTATTCAGGGAATGTACATTATTTGTGTAATGTGTATATATTATATTATATAATATACATTCAATATACAATTGATGTACATTTAGTATAGTAAAAATGTACTTTTTGTTATGATTCACAATGCACTATGTGGACCATGGATCCACACAATAATTTGCCAAATTGGACCACAATCTGATAATGTTTTTGTATTCCTATACATACACATGTATATACCCATATGTTATATTTCTGTGTATTTGTATTTTTTTACCCTATATAAAGATGATATTCGAGTAGATGTATATGTACGTATGTATATGTTGTTTATAATATTTATGAATATATGTATCTTTATTATATATTAAAAAGTTTTGTTATATAGAGGATATGTTCTTCTCTGTTCTTCAAATGCTGACCTTAAGGAATCAACACCTAAAAAATTTGTTCATACTTAGAAAAGTATGTGGGACAATAGAGAATGAATTGATTTCTAAATTCGTAAAGTGAAGTTGTGTTCAACAACATGAGATTTGAAAGGATGCAATTAAAAGGCGAAATGGTGAAGAATAACAAAATGTTGTCCTTAAACGGGTTGTATGGTAATTAATTTATATAAGGATATAATCATGAGATTTTTTTTTTTTTTTTTTTGAACAGCTATTTCTCTATGTATGCATTATTCAATTTATTTATATTAACAATTTTACTCTTTATAGTAAACTTAATTTTATTAGTCTAATAACACAAGGCACATAAATAATAATATTATCTCAAACTTATATTAGAACAACATAACTAAAATGTTTATAACATTTTATCCCGTGCATCGCACGGGTGTCATACTAGTAAGTATTAAAAGGAAGATTTTGACTAGCTAGCCATCCTAGGAATCCATGTATGCATATAATCTGCTCACATTCAACATTTGACACTATTTGATATACACTGCCGGTGTATAGATGCTATACACTTGCGGTGAATGAGGAGATGACACATCATTAAAGAATAAAATCAATGTTAATCAGGCCCTTTTTTGCAAAATATCTAAGGGGGGTGTATTCAATCATAACTTTCATAGAGTTTTAAAGACTTTTATGAACTTTAAAAGTTTGGAGGTATTCAATTCAAACTTTTAGAGAGTCTTTAAAAGTTAGGCGGTATTCAATCAAGATTTTTAAAGAGTCTTTAAAAGTCATGTGGTATTCGATTAAGACTTTTAAAGAATCTTTAAAAGTCATGTGGTATTCAAAAAGTTATGAACTTTTGTAGACTTTTTAATTTTAAGACTTTTGTAGACTTTTGTAGACTTTTCCTAGTCAAATATAAATAGTTGAAATCCAACCCTCAACCCCAAGATTTCAAATTTTCTTTCTAACAACTTTGAATGTTTTCTCTCTCTCTCTATTTAAACTCTATTTTTCCCCCTATTTAAAACTCTATAAACCTATCTAAATTCAATAAAATTATTTTTTCTTCATTATCCTATATTTTCGTCATACCTAAACTCTACCAATTTTTTTCTCTCCTAAACTTTAAAATCTTCATCTAAAAATTCGAAATAATATTATTTTTGCTTCATTATTGCTTGTTTATATTGGTTTTTTATTTTTTTCTATGAATTTTTTATCCCTAACTATCTCTAATTCTCCCTAAATACATGAACAAAGCAAATTTTTCATCGTCAAATTTTAATATATGTTTCATAATATTCATATAAATACTTATATATTTTTTGATTTTTATTATTTTTATGTTTATATTCGTAATATATATTTTTCTTTTTTTCTTTTTAACAACAGGTTACTACGTATAGCGAATTAATGTTTTGTAAGAAAATTGTAAATGATAAAAATAAAATCATTGAAAGTTTGTAAGGATGTATTCAATTTAGAATTTCAATGACTTTTGTAGACTTTTTAAAATAAAAAGTTGATAAAAGTCTATGAATGTTTTTTGTATAGACTTTTAGAGAGTCTTATAAAGTTTTAAAAAATTTTGAACGACTTTACGAAAGTCAATCAAAGTTTATTAAAATCTATCATTTTAAAAGTCTTTAAAACTCTACAAAAGTCATGATTGAATACACCCCCCTAAGACTTGTATTCTTTTAAGAAATTCTTTTATTTCTAATTAACAAAATATATCTACTTTCCTAAACATATTTATTACTTAATTATTATATATTTAATTATCTAATTATTAATTATGATAGAACCTGTAAAACAATTCGCATTCAGTAATCTGTTACTACGTATCACTTATAATAATAATAATAATAAATTTCTAAATCGGTTATCATTCCTGTAAAAGAATTCAACATACATTCAGTATCTAATTAATTTTTTTTATTTAAGAAATTATTTCTAAATTATTATATTTATAACTAATAATTCTTTAATTTTAATTAACAAAAATCATCTAATTAATTTCCTATATGTATCTTAACTCCTAAATTTATTTAACCCCTAAACTCCTAAATTTAAATAACCTCAGTCACTATTAGAAACAATTGCCACATCTTGTAAGAATATATAAACATGGCTAATATTTTCTGGAAATTTTTTCTCAATATGCCACATGCAAAAATGATGTGCAGTATTTGGCAAGACACTTGCAATTGCAGTAGTTATAGCTGCATCTTGATCTGTAATTATTGTTTTCCATTGCTCCTAACCAAGTATTCAATAGCCAAACAAATGTTTTCACTGTCTCATCCCATAATAGAGCACAACCAAATAAAATGGACGGGTGATGGTGATTGACTCCAGTGAAAGGAACAAATGATTTTATACCTATTTGTCAAATAAGTTGGGTCAAAAGTCACAACATCTCCAAAAGATTTATAAGCCACTCTAGACCTAGAATCAACCCAAAAGCAATTCGCTAGTTGACCTTCTGTGTCCATTTGTATTGCATAAAAAAATCCTGAATTTTTATGCATCTCCTTCCTTTCTCAAGTTGCTTTTGCCTTTTATTACTTAAATAAATTTTAGTACAACCGACC